TATAATAACATAGGCGCCACAGCAATTGATTTCAAGAACTTCAAACGAGACCTTAAGGCATATGTTGCGGGTGGAGATGCACAAATGATCATCGACAAAATGTTTCGAAGACAAGAAACATGTCCTGCATTTCGTTTTGCATATGATGTTGATGAAACGGACCAACTTACCCGACTATTTTGGTGCGATCCCGTTGCGAGGAAAAACTGGGCTCTGTTTGGGGACGTTCTCTCTTTCGATGCTACGTATGAGACTAACAGGTGTGCTTACATGTATAGCTTTTTTGTAACACCAATCATTTTATGACAATGCCAATTTGAATACAATTTTAATCCAATCACACTTTGTTCTTTAAAATGATAGGTACAACATGGTGTTCACTCCATTCACAGGCGTGGATAATCACCAGAAGTGTGTTACATTTGGAGCTGGTTTACTCCGCAACGAAGACATAGAATCCTATACTTGGATCTTTCGCCAATTTCAGGATGCAATGGACCATGATCCACAGTGCATCATAACAGACCAAGATCCCTCATTGACGACTGCTATCAGCGAAGTTTTCCCACAGACAACACACAGGTATTGCATGTGGCATATTACTAAAAAAGTAGGGAAAAAAGTGGGGGAACCGCTAAATAAGGATTCTGTCTTTCTCACACAATTGAATGACGTTATCTGGAGCCATTATCTAGACCCACGCGATTTTGAGCACAAATGGAATGAGGTAATGCATAATTACAATCTGGTGAATCAAAAATGGTTTGTTAAGTTGTTTAACATTCGCCAAACGTGGATCCCAGCATATTTTAGAGACCAATTCATGGCTGGTTTACTACGAACAACTTCACGATCTGAAAGTGAGAACAGCTTCTCCGGGGAGTTCTCTAACCCCCATTTCAGTCTCGTAGAGTTCTCGATGCAGTTTGAAAGTGCCATGGATGCACAACGCCACAGGAATGCTAAGTTAAATGCAGATTCTGAATCCTGCATTCCTGTGTTCAAGACTCCGTTGCCAATTGAGAGGCATGCCGCTGCCATATATACGTTGTCAGTATTTTATGATGGGCAAAAAGAGATTTGTGCTGCATGTTTCTCGTGTTTTAGCACACATGTTGAGAACATCGATGATAAACTGCACTACACGATTAAGGACAATAGAGGTATGACGTTCTCAGTTATGTACTCCGCAGATAATTCATACGCATCATGTTCATGCAAGCATTATCAGCGCGTTGGGCTTCTCTGTAGGCATATATTTGTTGTTCTTATAGCAATGGGATGTCCCACTATTCCTGACAATTACGTTACAAAGCGATGGTGTAAGATTGACATAGCAAAACGTTATCTTGGATCTGTCTCGTGTGGCATTGAAGGGGATTCAAATCAAGGGAATACTAGATGGAAGATAAACCTTTTGTGGGCTAACATCCATGCGTGTGTTGCACTTGCGGAGAATGATTTTGAGTTGTTAGATGCATTTACCCAAGTTATTAAAACACAGAAACAAAACCTCGAGAGATCGGCCTATTCCGGAGATTCAGAACCAGAAAAGAACAAGATTTTTGAATCTTACTATGGCACACCGGCACCATCCGAGATTCGTGTTTTACCTCCCGAGAAGGTGCATAACAAGGGCAGTGGAAAACGCATCAAAAGTGCCGTAGAAATAAGCATGGAGCAGTCCAAAAAACAAAAGAGAGTATGCCGAACATGCAAAGAAGTTGGTTACCACGACAGTCGAAACTGCCCAATGAATAAGGGGCTATGATAATCTTATTTCTGGATGCAAAATTGTACCACTTTATTTTTTTCTCTAAATCTCCATGTACTCCTTCATCTTCATGCACATCTCACTACATTTTACATTTCTCACAGTTATTAGCGCATTAACCCATCATTACTATATCATAATTTGCCATTCTCAATACATACACCTGGCTTTGCAAATACTCCCCCTACAACCTTTTGAAATGATAATGACACACAACAAATTCAACTATCTTTGTGTATCAGGGCACTGCTTAATGTATATACACGTTATGTGATCACATATTTACCAAATATATATTGCATAATGTAATCGGCATGTATAAATGTCTCATTCAACAAAATCATCTGCTTCTTAGAATACCCCAGTAAACATATCA